GAGGTGGGAGTGTCACTTAGACCGAGTTTTTTTCCAAATACTAGGATTTAAAAAAAAAATCCAATTTTTTGTCCAAAACCATCGAAACCCCTACTCCGTCAGCCTCCATCACCGTCGAGCCATTTCTGGCAACTTCACCAATAAAAAGGCTAACCTACTTTCTCTGTCATTCCATCACTTTTACTCTTTTTCTATGTATGTACACAACTTATGTATATACGTTGTGTATATACAGATTATACAATGTATTTACACAACTTATTAATGTGTGTATACACTGAGGATACACTTATTATACAGTTATTATACACTGAGTATATACATGCGTCTTCACCTTCCTTTTCAATCATAGAACTAATTAGAACGAGATTTTTATTTATCTATACTTAATTTTGAAACTTATTTACCTTCACTATTGAGGTTCTAACTTAATTACAAGTCCATATTGTTTACCTCGAAAATACGAGTAACAATTAAATTTGATTTGTGGTTTTAAAGATACGTGATTTAATTCAATACCAATTAATAATCAAGAAGTATGAAGTAGAAATGAAAGAGAAAGGTGAATCAAACCAATGTTAGTCAACAACAGTGACCTCGAGCCCATGGACCTCGAGGTAGGCTTGGTATAATAAGAACAATTAAATAATAAAAGCAAAGTAAGAACAATAGAGCTAAAGGACAATGCTGATGAAAAGCAGGCGAAAAGGTAGAGTGCATATTCTTTTCTCAGTGATAAGATGATGTTACAAATGATTGGAGTCGCCTTTATATAGTAGCGGAACCCTAAATAAGAAATATTTCTATTTACAATAGGAAATATTCTTGATACAGCTATCTAACTGCCTAGTATGGAATCGTACAATCTTGTTCCGGGATTTCTGCCGCGATAAATGGGGATGTGGAAGGAATCTAGCTCATTCTGTTACAAATCCAACGGTACTATTTCGGGGTCGAGTACACCCGGGCCTGGTCCTCCTCGTACCCCCTATCTCCGGGCATTGCACTCTGTCTTCGAGCTTGCCTCTGGTCCACCGGTCTCGAACTCGACCTTGCCTGAACTCGGGCCTGTGACGGACCCTCGATCCTGTAAATCGGAGGCCTCTGATTTTGACCGTATACATATATACAAATTACCAATTTTATACAAAATAATATATTAGACTGTAATTTATCTTCAATTTTGAGACAACTTGGTGAAGATTCGAGGTGGGTTTACTTGAAATTTCAGAATAAAACTCGAAAAAGAAGACATAAACAAAATTGTATATATATATATTGTATGTCGAGTGTGAAAACTGCATACAAAATTCAAAAAATACGTATTTTTACAGTCAAATTGTATATTTTCACCGGATTTGTATATATTTTGTAAAAAAACTTTAGTTACTGTCTATAAATATATGAAAATTTAGACAAAACCTGGTAAATAAGTTTAAAATTTCGTATATATACGAAAAAATCTCAATTAGAAATAAAACTCAAAATATCACAAGCCCCTTAGCCAGACTCGAGTCTAACGTTTGCTCGTATAATTTTTAGTTTGCTCATCTATATCTATCTATACTATACTAAAAGCACGAAGGCCCTTAGCGAAATGTTGTTCGCTTTTTTGACCCATTTTTTTTACACTAGACAAAATAGTCATTTGTATTATTTTTCTAATATTTTGAATTATTTTATATCTCCCTAATATTTAGAAATTCAAAATCAATTCAACTCACTATTGAAACGATATGAAAACCCAAAAAATAAGGGTATGTTATAAAACAATAAAAGTAGAAGAACAATATTACAGAGAAAGAGAGAGAGGGAGAGAATTCTTATTGATATGGGATGAATTACAATAGAATAGAACCCTCTATTTATAGGGAGAGGGTGACTTAGCCACCAAGCAATGAACCATAGAATCTCTCTAAATATAGACATTCACCAAAAATACAATTCTATTTATAACAATCCCCCTTCAATGTCTATTCAACAGATAATATGCCTCGTTAAAACCTTAACTAAAATAAAACCCAGTGGGAAAACAATTCTAGAGAAGGAAAAAGAGTACACATATCTACAATACGCCTTTTGGTTGCCTCGTTAAAAACCTTACAAGGAAAACCTAGTGGGACAAAACCTTGTAAGGAAAAAAAGAGTACAACGCGTATTAACTCCCCCTGATGAGAGCATCAATTCACATCCTTGAGCATTTGCATTCCAATCTTGTGCACCATCTTCAAAAGATATTTGGTAGAGATTTGATGAACAAATCAGCCATATTAACTTGAATGAATATATTGCACCTTGAAAATCCTCGCTATCACATTATCATGCTTATAGTTATAGCAAGATACCTTTGTGCACAAATTGCACTTAGGATGTGGTCATTCGTGACCAAAAAATTCTCCAAGAATTGCATATGCTATCAGCATTTTAAATCGTTCATGGATCGCCATTAAGTATAGTCAATAAGCCCTATAAATAGGGTTTAGATTTACATCAAGTTTTCATGTCATGCCAGACATATAAGATACATAAAGGTGATAGCACACACCATTGACTTTATACTTTTAAGTGTTTGAACTGCAGGTCCAAAACTACTTGTCTTTCATATGAAACCAAATTCTACTTGAATTGTTTCTCCAGACTTAAGATCCTCATATATATATTTAACGCTATCATAGATGTCGTCGACAAACATTTTATATCAGTTTCAATATTTTTTTCATAAAGACATAACATAGAGATCTCTTCATTCATATTTTCGGATACTTGAATCTCTCATGAGATCTAATGAAGTGTTATGTCATGTGATCTTCTAGATCACTTGCCTCCTTTATTGTGATCATTTTGATCATTTGCTCATCTTCTTATCAAGAAGTTTATTTGAAACCGATTTGTCTATACGCTTAAGGTACCACAGACTTTGTCCTTCTAGGACTTAATAGGAGCATTTGCATAGAGAATATAGTTACTTTCTTTGGGCCAACAAATGTGTCAGGTATGCTTTGCAATATATTGCAAATGAATTATCCTTTATGAACTTCAAGTTCATATTATCTTATTCGAGGATCTAGATGTATAAATGATAATTCATTCCACGTAACTTTTTCTCAACTGTTTATCATGTCTCCCCCTCATGTTAAAAAAATTAACTTGTTACCTCAACTTTGAGAATTCACCTTTGTGTGTTATGGTGTTAATCAAAATATACACCGCACATCAATAATAATAAGATGGAATTATTTGGTTCCTGACCCTGAACCACTTGTGAGGGGAGAAAATAATATACTTTGGTATATAACGTATATCAAACTGATATAGATAACTTTGTTCTCATAAGCAATAGTTTAGCTATTAAGTAGAGGCACTTAATAAATTATTTTGCTAAACCAACTGTGCTGTAAACCAACTTATCAAGATGAACTTCTTGAATAGAAAATCTGGAAATTATGCTCGAAATTAAATTATTGAGCAAGTTACCTCACAAAACATCATGTTGCGGGTTATTAATAATCGCACATGTAACCATCTCATAGATGCATCTTATGTGGTATACATGGCAGGTGAATGGGCCCATATTCACCTTTGATACTTCCAGCATTCATGGGATTCAATCCCAATTTTAATTGGTCTATTAATTAATGGGAACAAGCATTGTAAGAGAATTCGTAAAGAACTTTCTAGTTCTTTAATATTTACCCATGTGAATTCTCTTTTATTTTTGCATATCATACTTGAATTAACATGGCTAAATCAATTATGCCAACTGGATAAATTATCAATATTGATAAACTTCAGGTTTACACCATGATGTGTGCAATTATGAATAAACTCCAAGTTTATTATGATATGGGTTTTTATATCAATAAATATCCACTTCATTGTGGTATTCTTCTGTTTATGTAGTACAAATTGGAGAATAAAGCGGGTAGCTTTTCACATACATATTACCCCGCTACAAGTTGTAGTAATAGAAGATATTAAATCTTTTCTTTATTTATAGTCTCAATATAATCAACCGCTTTTGCGTATACTTTGGAAACTGAATAAGCTTCTTTGAGACTTACTACAACACAATACCTTATTGGTAATTAATTGTGTTTCTCCAAAATAGTATAATTGGCTCTTGCAGAGATCTCAATTAATTTTGTAGTACCACATATTCATCAACACCCATATGGTGAACATCTCTTTTAAAGAGAAAGTTATACCATTATGGTTATGGTCAAAATTATATGCAAGATCTGTTTCTTGCATTACCGTTGTCTTTTAACAATCACAATGCCAAAATATTTTGGCGTACAATAGGTACGTGACCAATGACCATTCATGCCATAATAATGACA